CATGTGTAAATGTGAAGGAGATAAAGACTTACTTTTGTCTAGCTTCTAACGATAGCAAATTACTGACAGCGATAGCATATAACAACAAACTAATAGCGATGATCTAGTAGCGATGATCGAAATCGAATCTCTCATACATGTCCTTAAACGGGAACTGATTGGAGATAAAAAACTTATTATGTAATAATCATTAACTAACGAAAGACTGATTGATGAAAATAAACCAGAGAAAAACGATAATAAAGTGTGTACTAAGTAAGAGTTTCTAAGTTAACACTGCAGGATCTTGTATTTGATGCTATGCGCCTATAATTTCCCTTAACACTGTAAAGAGAAGAGTGCAGTCCGTACTGGCTTTCAAATGGTGTTATTGACGAAGACGAGCTTGGGGAAAGCAGTTGCCATGGTCCAAATGTATATGTGTATGCTGTTTAGTGTTTAAGCTCGTTAACCACTAAAACTAAAGAGGGGTATCAGTTAATCTGTAACATGTAGGAACATAAACAACAGTGTGTGTAGTGCATGTATCGATCAGCAATCATTGTCCAGTAACGGGCACTCTCCAGTCCATAGATAGTTTTCATTATTTTGTTGTCAGTATTGCACATGTAACCTTATGAAAAGGACAGTATTGACAAAATAGTAAATCTTTATTGCTTAGGGTTTTCTTATGTTTTTTTCTTATTATTATTGTTATTTTCTTATGTGTATCAAAATATGAATTGTACATTTAACCTCAGATAAAGCTGTGTAAAATCTGCAGGTTTAATTTTAACGACATTGCTTATCATTTAAGCAAAAAAAATATAAATTTTAAAAGAATACAACTTTCTAAAACTAGCTTTAAGCACAAAACTACATTCTTTGCTTCTCAAACTAGTAGATTTAAGGCTGCAGAATTGTTTTAACAGTCACACCTGTCTTTGTTCAACAGCTGAGGAGCACTAAAAGCTAGCTTTTCCCACATCAGTTTTTGTTTGGGAAGGAATTCTTACAGCACATGAATATGAGGTGTGGACACCAATTCCTCACATAGTTGAGCTCCTTTTTAATTGTGGAAGAAATGGTTGGACTAATGAAGAAATTGCACATCTGGAAGTCCCCAGCTGGAGACACTGCATCCTTGCAGAGGAAAGATGTCGTCCTTCAGAATGCGTTATTACCCTTATCATCTCCTGATAACTTTTGTTGTTTCCAGCTTGAGAAAGCAGTTGAAAGGTAAAGTTGATATGGCAAAAACTTTTGAAATCGGTCCCGGCATATACAGTAAACCGACAACGGTAAATGTAGAGATTTTACGGAACCTAAAAATTTCATTCTAAAATAAAAGGGCTGAAGTGACGTGAAAATGTCTAAAAGATAGAATGTCTGAAATAAATACCACCCAAACAATTAATCTGTTTTGTCTTGTATGGTATGTAAAAACGACAAGTAACCGGAAAGGAGTAGAAAAAATATTTGTTCGCAAGGAGTGTCAAAGCTACGAGAGTTTCTGAAAATCTGGAAACTTGGAGATAAAGGATTAAGTACTACAACAACAGAAAAGCCCGGGAGATATAGAAAAGACAAGGGAGTGTTTATCTGTGTCATAATTATCTCCTTTGTAGAAATTTTTGTGAGTTTGACTTACTTCACATGTCTCATAACGGAACAATTGACTTAGTGCTACTACTTTCTAGTTCAGTGCAGATCAGCTTCACAAGGAACTACTCACGTTGTTTGACTGTGTCATATAGAATTCATTCTTACAAATGTCATTGATTCTGTAAAATACTTTTGATTCTGAGTCTGATAACAGCGGCGCAAAATTGCTAATATCAGTTATTAGGTGTAAACAAAGTCCTTTGACTGCGAGTAAGTGCATCTATCATTTTAGATGGTTGCCTCTTCTCTGAAATCTGCAAAGGATCTTATTAAAGAATGTTCAGATGACATAGCTAAAATGCGAGATATCTATGGAATACTAATTGAAGTGGCGAAATTGAGCTGTTGCAAAGGGTGAAGGAAGTAATCTATCAAAAACGAGTGCGAGTGTTTTACCGGGGTGTCCAGATGAAAGCACCAGGCCGTAGGCCTCGTGCTTTTATTGTTTCGAGGTGTTTCGAGACCCCGGTCAAACACGACGCACGAGTTTTTGATATGGCTTTTAAAACTGTTCACACTTCTTTAATTATTAGGGGGTATTGTTTCAGTGCTCTAATTTCCCATGAGATTATGTATTAAAGAAATAATCAATATGTGGCAAAGTTGTTGTTGTTCGTTGTAAGTCATGTGGGAGTGAAGATGGCGGAGTCTTTTGCAACGAATACCGTAAGCCGTTTTCGTTCTCCAAAAACTGGGGATGAAGAACCAAACTTGCTGCAAGGGAGTATTCCTTAGTCAACTGCCTACAAAACCAAATGGGCGATTGACATTTTTCACGAATGACAGATAAATAGAAAAGTTAAATTTCCTGTACTTGATGCTGGAGGCGTTTTTAAACATTATGGAGATTTGTACAAAGTTTAGTCGTTGAGTACAGATTTGGCAAATATGGATGCCAACACTTTAAACTACTGGCTGAGTAAATTTGTTCAGGGAGGTTGCGAATAGTGAGGGGAAGATGTATTCAGCAAGGACCATTAATGGAATTATCTGTGGTATCCGAAGGCATTTGGAGGAGACTGTGGGAAGCGAAGCATTAAATCCTTTAGATGCTCCAGATAAAGGGTGGGAGGATATGGTATTTATTATGTTCAATGCAAGATACTATTTTCATCGAAGACCACAATTACTGTATAGATCGATGTTTTTTTAATCTTCCTATATCTTATTGCAGATTAACTATTTTCCGTCGTTCTCTTGATGCTGAGATGAAGAGTAGCGCGCGGCAAGGTGTGAGTTTGCAAACAAAGAAAGAAGAGAAAAATGTATGTAGAAATTTCTATGAAGGTATTACTGACCTTAAGTATGAACCAAGAAAAGTAAGGCATATTTGCCATGAGAGAGGTCAAGAGCATGATCGATGTTTAGTGCAGTTTTATCAGTTGTACATTGGATTGGTTGAAACCCATGCAAAAAGCTTGCTATTTCGTGCCAAAGTCGAACACGTTGTCTTTTGCGAATAGTCCCGTAGGGATCAACAACTTGAAATCTATTTTGCCGAATTTGTGCAAGGCTGCGGGAATCAAGAGAAAAACGGCCCTGTGCTTGCGTGTCACTTGTGCTCTAAAATCTTTAATAGTAGTGTAGAAGAGAAATTAATTGGAGAGAGAACCGGGCACAGGTATAATGCATTATTTGCTTCTGAGAGAACAAGTGAGAGGAAAGTTCCTCATGCATCAGCTTTTATTAGGAGCAGAAACGAAGACAGAAAAAAAGGAAGAAAAAGCTGAGAAGGTTTTTTATTTTTGAATGCTTCTTCGTGCACGAATTGTGATGTAAACATTTCTATAAACGAAAACAAATGAACTGGCAGTATAGCTGATTAGTGATAATGATTTATTAAACTGAAGTATTGTTCTTGTGTTCAATTTGTTTGATTTGACCATGAATCTGATTAGACAGAGAAGAAAGAGAGAAGACAGATTTGTAATCCAAAATGCGTGTGGGTTTTCATCTGTGTTTTTATTGGGCGTCAAAACTCATGCACGTGACGAATTTAGCCATTTTTTTTATTGGCTATCAAACGTATGAATTATTGATGAGCTTTAGGCGAGCCGTTCATGATTATAATAATGAAATCCAAACTCCTGAGGTCGCGCCGCAATTCGTGCCATTACACAATGAAGGTGCAGGAGAAACTCTATCGCATTGGACATTACACAATTACTTTGCAAGGGCATCAAGAGATATGCCTCAAACTCATAAAATTCTACCTAGTGGTACATAAAAATCTTTTCAGCGCATTTGCTATTTGTGATGCCTATCAGTGTATCTTAGATAATGATGGTTGTCAACTACATCAACACAATGATACTATACCAAGCTTTTTCAGACATGCACTTGTATAACTTTGACTGACATCATAAGACCAATTATATAAGGGTTGGAACCTGATAGAAATTTTGCAATGAATGAGTTGCCAGTAATCGGATCCTTGTGTTTGCGCTAATATTTGGGTGGCTAATATTTGACTGTTTTAGTCCGTGCTCAATCTTTGTTCGCTTCGCTGATAACTATTTTTCGGTTTCAAAGAAAATGGTCAGGAAACGGACTAAGAAAATTTTGTTGGCTCTATTCCTTGGGATGACAACTTGTGTATTCTTCCAGTTAGTATATGTTCGGAAGTATCACTTCTCCTTTCTCGCTTCAGGAGAGGAAGTCGATCGACAGATGGAAAGGATCGAATTGCGACGACTGGCAACTACCGCGACAACTTCAACAGGGCCCTTAACAACGACCTCTATTTCGCCGCAAATTAAACACAGAACATTTCTTACAACCAGGAGATCTTGTATGCAACATTACGATCTAATTATGATTATCTCATCCGCTCCAGGTAATTTTCAAAGAAGGAATCTTATTCGCAAGACTTGGGCTTTCGAAAGAGCATTTCGACCAAGATGGACAACGGTTTTCCTCGTCGGCCAAACACATCGTCTTTATTTAGTGAGAAGACAGATTTGTGTTCCAAAATGCGTGTGGGTTTTCATCTGTTTTCATTGGGTATCAAAAGTTATGTGACGAGTTTAGCCTTTTTTTTTTTTTGCCATCAAACGTATGAATCATTAATGAGCTTCAGAAGAGCCGTTCATTGTTTTAATAATAAGATCCAACTCCTGAGTTAACACCGCAATTCTTCCCGGAGTACCTATCTACCATCTCACAATGAAGGTGCAGGAGAAACTCTATCCCATTGGAAATGACATAATGGCCTTGCAGGGGCATCAAGAGATATGCCTCAAACTCATTAAATTCTAGTTAGTGAAACATAAAAAATCTTTACAGTGCATTTGCTATTTGTGATGCCTATCAGTATCTTGATTTGCATATAAATGCAATGTGGTTTTCGTCCGTACTCAATCTTTGTTGGCTTCACTTCGCTAATAACTATTTTAAGATTTCAAAGAAAATGGTCAGGAAACGGACTAAGAAAATTTTGTTGGCTCTGTTCTTTGGGATGACAACTTATGTATTCTTCCAGCTAGCATATGTTCCGAAGTATAGCTTCTTCTTTCTCGCTTCAGGAGAGGAAGCCGATCGACAGATGGAAACGATCGAATTGCGACGACTGGCAACTACCGCGACAACTTCAACAGGGCCCTTAACAACGACCTCTATTTCGCCGCAAATTAAACACAGAACATTTCTTACAACCAGGAGATCTTGTATGCAACATTACGATCTACTTATGATTGTCTCATCCGCTCCTGGTAATTTTCAAAGAAGGAATCTTATTCGCAAGACTTGGGCTTTCGAAAGAGCATTTCGACCAAGATGGACAACGGTTTTCCTCGTCGGCCAAACACGAGATGAAGCTGTTTCAGTCATATTGTTAAAAGAAGATAAGGCTCATAAAGACCTTGTGCGAGCTAGCTATTACGATCACTACTGGAATCAAACCCGAAAGATACAAATGGGCTTCGAATGGGCAGTAACGTATTGTAATTTCTCATTTCTTTTGAAGCTGGACGACGACGTGTTTGTGCATATTCCAAGAGTTCTTTCCTTTTTGAGTGCGCCCAACACGCCGAAGAAAAAGCTTTACGCTGGCAATCATTACACAAACAATGTTCCTTTTAGGGGAGGAAAATGGAAGGTAACTTACGAGGAATATAACCAGACAAGATATCCAGATTTCTGCCCCGGTTTTGGTTATATTTTATCTCACGACGTAGTAAGTGCATTCGTCAAAACGTTCTCTTCTTTTCCGTTCTTTCGACTGGACGATGTCTACGTTGGCATGCTTGCAGACAGGAACGGAATAAGTGTCACGAACAATAACGGATTTGAGGTAGGGCATCCACGAGGATTTGTTTGTGTTCCAACAAATTATACTTTAGTCAGACATGATGTAGGAGAAGAATGCCAGATGAAGATGTTCAAGACACTCGTGTTCTCTGACTAGTTAAATACCATAGTAAATGCAAGCAATTTTGTACTCATTTCAATAACAGTTTTTATATTAAATATATGTTCTTTGTCGATGTGCAGTCGCTCACAGCCCTCTTGTTTTAAACGACTAAGGGCTAACGCTCGAAATGCCCGCTTTAGAAACTTACTACTGTGGTGGCAGACCACAATATTTGTTCCTGCTTAATAATTGTTAGAGACGAACAAAATCTTACGGCTATGAATATGGCTCTGAAAATAATTGCATATCTAAATTACATCTCAGTCTGAATATCTCAGTTAAGTTTAACGAAATGTTAATCAACTGATTTGTGTTCCAACAAATTATACTTTAGTCAGGCATGATGTAGGAGAAGAATGCCAGATGAAGATGTTCAAGACACTCATGCTCTCTGACTAGTTAAATACCATAGTAAATGCAAGCAATTTTGTACTCATTTCAATAACAGTTTTTATATTAAATATATGTTCTTCGTCGATGTGCAGTTAAATACTAGTTAAATACCGCAGTAAATGTCAGCAATTATATGCAACTATATGTTCCTGGTTAATAATTGTTAGAGACAAACAATATCTTACGGTTATGAATATGGCTCTGAAAATACTTGCATATCTAAATTACATCTCAGTCTGAATATCTCAGCTAAGTTCAATGAAATGTTAATAAACTCATTTGTGGTATTCTTTCGCCTATATGGGCTATTTGAAGCTTCTCTTTACGAAATTACTTTTGGCCAGAGGCCTTTAAGAGAAGAAGGGGAGAAATCAGAGAGCCCCATATTTTCTTCATTTACATAATCATATTACGGTTTCTTGCCTAAAATATCCAGCTCCAGTTTTAATCTTTCTGATAGCAATAAAAAGAATAAAGCATGCAATTAAACACAATTTTACATTGAAAGACCTCGATAACGAAGACCGAAAACAGAAACCCCCTTACTTTCGAAACAAGACGCACAAAATGCATGAAATATGGCTTCCTAGGGTAGGATACATTCCATGGGGTTTGGATACATTTTATCTCACGATGTGGTTCTTACATTCGGCGACACATTCTCTCCTTTTCCAATCTTTCGATTGGACAATGTTTACGTCGGCATGCTAGCAGATAGGAACCGGCATAAGTTTTACCGGGCACAATGCAGGCTTTGAATTAAGGTATCCACGTGGATTTATTTGTGTTCCAACAAATTGTTCTTTGGTCAGACATGATGTAGGAGAAGAGTGTCAAATGAAAATGTTTACTCTATCCATCTTCGCCTAGAAGCTAAATGGCGTGGTAGCTATATGCACTTTAGTATTTATTCAAGATTGATTTTATAGTTAACTGATTTCTCATTCGTCTAAATGCAGCAGCTTTGAGCTTCCATGTTTTGAACGCAACCTGTTCGAAAAATATGAAATAATTACCGTTGTTAGTTCGACAGTCAGAACGAGTCAAGCGGGACTTCGATCGGGCATATATGAGAGGGTAACTAAGTTATTCAAGAAGCCAGAGTAGTTCGGGCCCCCGGCTAATCTCAATGGTTGTTTGAACCTTTGGAAAACGATTCGTTAAAGTTCGGGTAATTTCATAAAATCGCAGCGTGCACCCGTCTAGTGCGTCCTATTTCAACACTTGAGTGGTCATATGACAAAATGCTTATTGACTGTGTTTGGTCGAGCCAGACGGGAAAATATTTGGCACTCGGTCGTAGCTTTACGGGGAAAGCAAACATCTTTTATGATGTCGTGAACCGTTTTTAAGTTCAAAATTGATATTTTTTATTATTCATCATGTAAATTGTAGTTTCATTACCGTTAAAGAAGAATGTCTGCGTTGGCAAGCCTGCGGATGAAATTGGTCCAGGGGTAGTTAAGAAAACGAAGACCTCCTACGAAAACGAAGACCTCCTACGAAAACGAAGACCCATGACGAAAACGAAGACACATTACTTGCAAATTGATCCATCAGTGGGCTGCCTTCCCACAAAAACGGGAAGCTGTTGGGCCTTTGGAGCTGTTGGGCCACGCACGCCACGTGGAAGAAACCGCGTGCACCGTAAATTTGAAGAAGGCACTTCATAGCTTCTCATAGGTCATGATTATTCATGAAATGTCACTCAAATCAGTTTCCGGAAACATTAAATACAAAGCCTATTATGCAAGCTTTGTCCTGTGTGTTTTGCTGCTGGTAAAAAATGTCATCGCGTTCTTTGATTCGCTTAATATATTTGCTTTACGTTAAAAAAAAAATAGCTAAGGAAACGCAATTAAAATCAAACAGTTATCCTATTTTAGTTGATGGAATATATGTATTCCATATATTCTCCTTAACAGTTATCTTATGTAATGATATCTTTACCTCCAGCGCTTAAAGCGTCACGCAGCGCATCTTCCATAGGCATGTCATGTCTCTTCTATTAAATCTCGTTTTAGCTTTAAAGTAGTCCCATTGAAGGCTCCTTGGGGCTCTAATGTTGAAATATTCCGTGATAAATTACAGACGTGCTAAATTCAGAATTCAAGATTTCCGTAAGGATGTTCGTTTTCGTAGTGTCTTATAAACATAATCTTTGTCCACAAAGGTAAACCGACCTCTTTTGTACTTGTTTTAGTAATGTGTCTTCGTTTTCGTGACGGGTCTTCGTTTTGGTGATGAGTCTTTGTTTTCGTAGGGGGTCTTCGTATTCGTAATGGGTCTTCGTTTTCCTAAGGTCTTCGTTTTTGTGACTACTTTGGTATAAGCGTTGCCGAACAAAAATGCAGGTTTTTAAAGTACGGCACCCACGCGGATGCTAGGGATGATGTGGGAGAAGAGTGTCAAATGAAACGGCCGTAAATTCGTCAGATATCAATACACTTAAGGGTGTGAGGCTTTTTACGAAATTCGAAGTATTTTTCCTGTGACTTCCCGCCACATGACAACAACCGAAATATTACTGTTTATTGTCCAGCTTCAAAACTGATTTTCTCGGGAACCAATAGGAATATCTAAAACCCACAGAATGCTATCATTACGCTATCAATGCAAAGTGTCAATGCAAACATTACGCTAGCGACATTGCTGATCCAAGCAGTATGCAAGACGAGTGTCATATGAACTTCGTAATAGACCTTGCTCCTTGCGGAGTCTTTGTGGTCAGTGGTTAGAGCATCGGAGCGCGAAATCCGAAGGTCTGAGGCTCGATTCCTCATGGGGACTCAGAACTTTTTCTTTGTCCCACGCTTGTGACAAGACGAAAAAAACATCTTTCTCTAGATGCACAACTAAAATTTCAGGCATTACAAAGAGTTTATAGGCGGGAAAGCAAAAACCGCAAAAGAGACAAAGATAATTGAAGTTAATTCTTTAAATCTTAGAACAGAGTCCCCAAATAGCAAAATCTACAACCCACCCAGCAGATAAGGTGTGAAGCAATATTCTTGTAGAACAAAGTCTTTTCTTTGAAATGAGGCACTTTGTACAATTGCTTTGTGTTTACGGAAGGTACGATAGGAAATCAATTACGTCAAATAAATAAATTGTCTGTCAAAATATAATCTGTAATTTATCATGGCACTTTTGCACTTTAGCTGAGCCGAGACATTTGCATTGTAGCAATAGCCACCTCCTCGACTAAATTTGCGTACGTTTGGCATAATGTATAATTTTCCTTTCATGTGACTATGTCACTACGTTTTTTCCGTTTGGAAAACAATGACCAAAAACGGACGAAAAGGGCATTTTTGCTTTCAGTCCTTCTGCGGACGACATACGTATCTCTCCACCTTGATATTTTAGAAAGAAAGGCTCGTCCTTTTCAGCCACCGCTGTTGAAGAACCAACAGCCAAAGTGATACCCTCAAAATCTGGGTCACGCTCTTCAAAACAACTTCATCAAGATCCTTGACAGCGACTTCTACCTCACAAATGAAGCACAGAACATCTCTCATAACGACGATATCATGTACGCAATATTATCATCCTTTTATGATTATTCCATCCGCCCCAGGCAACTTTAAAAGAAGGAATAACATTCGAAAGATTTGAGCTTTTTAAAAAGCATGTAAACCAAGATGGCTGTCGTTTTCTTGTCACTCAAACACGTAATGAAACCGTATCAAACCTATTGTCAGAGGTAGATGAAGCCCACCAAGACCTTGCGCAAACCAGCTCCTTTAACTACTACTACAATCAAACCCTAAAGATGAAAATGGGCTTTGAATGGGCAGAAACGTATTGCAATTTCTTGTTTCTTTTGAAGCTAGACGACGACGTGTTTGTGTATATTGCAAGACTTCTTTCATTCTTGATCGCCACTGCCACGACAAAGACTTTAACGTTTTAGTGGTATTTAATTTAGACATTCTATCTTTTAGACGTGTTCATATCAATTGAACCCTTTCATTTTGTCTAGGTAATCACATGATTTCGAGTGCAATTTGGAATAAATAAGCACGAGTAAATTTTTTTAAAGACTAACAAAATTGCACGAGCCCGTAGGGCGAGTGCAATTTGTGGTCTGTGAAAAAATTAACAATTGCTTGTCTATTCCAAATTGCACGAGAAAAATCGTGTGATTACGTGTTAAAAATATACATGGAAAATACGAGATGGCTTATCATAATTAAGCATAAGCAAAGCGCGCGCATCAAGTGCAAAAATAATTTATTCAAACCGTGCGTTCGGTCAAAGCAACCGCGTACGATCAAAAAAATAATATGCAATGATATCTTCACACCTTTAAGGCGCAAAAAAGTTCAAAGTCCGGCTAAACGGTTCAAGGAATTGTTCAGTCTGTTTCCGAATCACTTTCGATGAAATGGAATCGTCGTTTCCGAGGTTTAACCATGTTTGTTTTTAATTTCGGCGTTGGATCGTTCGAGCAAAGTGTTAAGCTGGGTCGGCTCGTAATTTTCGATTTCCTTGGCAATTCCCTTCTCTAAACACCACTTTTCCCAAACCGACAACAAAAAAGCAGCGCTTTTTACAGTGTTTTCGTTGTTTGAGCTGTTTTTCAGCTGCGGTGGCGAAAGAAAACCTACTTAAAACGCCGGCCATTGTTTCGCTCGCAAATTTTCAAATTTTCAAATTTTGTTGCAACATCCAAGGCTCGTATTTTATGGGCTATCTGCGAGTTTCTTTGATTACTGACCAATCAGAATGTCTGATTTGTTACTTTCTTTGCACTGAATTAACCCTCTTTTGCAATGAATTAACTCTCTTCTGTACTGAATTACCTGAAAACTGCATTTATCTTAATCAATCAGAACTGAGTAATTTTTCCATGTATATTATTAAGAATGAAATTTTTAGGTTCCTAAATCTACATTTACCGTTGTCGGTCTATTGTATATACCAAGACTGATTTCAAAAGTTAATGCCATGTCAACTTTACCTTTCAACTGACTGGAAACACCAAAATTTATCAGGAGATGAAAACCTTGATATATCTTCATGAAGATGAATGAGACGGTGAAGGATAATAACGCATTTTGAAGGACCACATCTTTCCTCTGCGAGGATACATTGTCTCCAGCTGGGGGCTTTCAGATCTGCAATTTCTTCATTAGTCCGACCATTTCTTCCGCAATTAAAAAGGAGCTCAACTATGTGAGGAATTGGTGTCCACACCACATATTCATCTGCTGTAAGAATTCCTT